TGTTTGACATTTTGCGCTGATTAAATATGTTTATGATATTTCCTATTAATTAATGTACATGTACGTATTGCTTTAATAAGTGGTAATAGGAATAGTCTTGGAAAAGACATTATTGTTAGATCATTATTGATACTTCTCATTTATAGACTATGTTGAATAGATTACTAGTGTTGTGGTACATGGAAGGGACTGTGTCATTTAAGGATATATAACCGCCATGACTCGCATTGGTAATTTATTTACCATGGTATTTATGATGACCAATTTAATGAGTTAATCTGATTTATGGTGCACATTAATAACTATTTTACTAAACCACTACAAAAATTATCATATGTGCCAAGTGAGAGAATGTAAGATTATTTATTTAATTGTAGCTCACATGATTTGGACATGTGACATATTACTTAGTGGGTAAGTAAATAGATATCAATTAATATTATTTATTTTTGGTCAACTTATAATTACCTTTTTGGTAATTACTTATTGAAAAAGTATTTTTCTTTCTTATTCCTTATTTTGATGGAAAGTAAAATTATGTTCCTATAAGGAAAACTGGTCCTCTCTCTGCCTTTATAAAAGTGCATATACTCCATCAATTATGTACAATTAATGAAACAACACGTAAAAGTTTTATGTGTGCAAAAGGCCAAGAGAGAGAAACCAGTTTCCACCTTTGCCTGTTGATCAGAGTTGCAGATTAGTTCGTGACCAAAGGATCTGGACGTTGGACTTAATCTCAACAAGAATTGATATCGTGAATCGAGGTATTTATATCTAATTAGTATTTATTTATGCATTATAGATATGTGAAAATCATGAAGTTCTAAGATATGGGATTCATGTAAATTTGTGATTAATGGCTTAACACGAATTATTATAGTTTACATCCATGTCTACATTATTGAGGGTGACACTTTGGTCCAACTTTATTGGGGAGTATTTCTTTTCCTTTTGTTTTTTTGTTTTTTTTTAATGAAAAAAAAAAAACAAAAAATCAACCTTAGTGGACAGGTGAAGTAAAACGGTTCTCTTTGACCAACACACGTGATTTCGTGTGATTTTTTATTATTATTTTTTTCCTTTAAAAGTTAAGTGAAGGCACGTATGCTTAAAATTCAAAATACTACTTTTAGGCTATGTTTGGTAGGGTAAGTTTGAAGGGGAAGGATAACATTAGTTAGGAGGGAAAAAGAAGAGATGGGAACGGAAGAATAATTTTAATTTGGTATTGTGTTTGGTTGATTAATGAAGGAAAAGAAAGGGAATGACAATAATTACGTTTGGAAAAAGAAGGGGAAAGAAAAGAAAGGGAATTATTTTAATAAATTGACCATTATACCTTTTTATATTTTAATATATATAGAGAGAGAGAGTGTGTGTGTCTCTAGGCCCACAAGAAAAGAAAAAAAAAAAATTCAGCCTCTGCAAATCAATTCAGCAGCCTCGGCCTCCATCTGTAAATCTCGTTCTCAACTCTACACTTGCCCTCTCTTTCTCTCTCTCTCTGCAACTGGAAACTACAAAATCTACAAAATCAAAACCCATATCAGCATATCATTTCAGATTGTTCAAAAAATCAAAACCCATATCTTTTGGTTTCCATCGCCCGCTATTCCAGTTCGGGTTCGTCATTCGCCATTCGCAAGCTTCAGCCGCTGTCTCTCCTCCAAGCTCGCCCCCCTCTCTCGCTGCAACTTCTAACTTGTATATATGTATGGGTTTTGTTTTAATTTTGTTTCTAAATCAACTAATCAAGGTCTGTAATACTTGTTTTGCAAACTAAATCCTGATTTTGTGTAACTTTGGTATCAGAGATCCCATATCAACCCTAGCCTTCCCTTTCCTTCCATTTCCTTCCATTTTTGGGAGGTTAAGAAAAGCACTATTCATGCCTTGAGTTATCCTTCCAAAACCCTCCATCACCTTCCCTTTCATTCCCACCATTTATACCAAACACGCCTTTTTAATCCCCCTCCATCACCTTCCCCTCCCTTTCCTCCCTTTGCCATTGCACCAAACTGAGGTTCAGTTTGGTAGAGTGGAAATGAGAGGAAATGAAAGGAAGGTGATGGAAGGTATTTAAAAAAATATGTTTGGCTAAAATGGGTGGAAGAAAAAGAAAAGAGAGGGAAGGCTTTGGAGGGTTATGTATAGCGTTATACAGTAATTTTCTTATCTTCCCAAAAATGAGAAGAAATGGAAAGAAAGTGAAGGCAATGGCTGATGAAGGATTTGTGATGCCAATTTTACCCTCAAGATTACACAAGTTTGCAAAACAATATACATACAAGTTAGCAGTTGCAGAGAGAATGATAGACAGCGGCCAGCGGCTGAAGCTTGCGAACGGCGAACCCGAACTAGAACAGCGGCGATGGAAACTGAAAGATATGGGTTTTGATTTTCTGAACAATCTGAAATGATATACCAGAAATGGGTACAGATAGATAAACTGAAATATATGGGTTTTGAACTTCTGATTCTTGTAGTACAGAGAGAGAGAGAGGGCAAGATTGGGGAGGCTGAAATGATTTGCCCTAAATTTTTTTTTTCTTTTCTTATGGCCCATCGATATAGGAGACTATATATATACATATAAAATAGAGATGGAGGCGAGATTGGGCAGGCTGAAATGATTTGCCCTAATTTTTTTTTTTCTTTTCTTGTGGCCCATCTGTATAGGAGACTATATATATATATATATATATATATATATATATATATAATAGAGATGGAGGCGAGATTGGGCAGGCTGAAATGATTGGCCCTTTTTTTTTTTTTTTTTCTTTTCTTGTGCAGGTATGAGACTATATATATATATATATATATATATATATATATATATATATATATATATATATTTATTTATTAAAATATAAAAGGGTATAATAGTCATTTTATTAAAATAATTCCCTTTCCTTTTTTTTTCTTTCTTTTCCCGAACATGATTATTATCCTTCCCTTCCTTTTCCTTCATTAATCAACTAAACACAACAGGAGGTTAAAATTATCCCTTTTCTTCGTAACTAATGTTATCCTTCCCCTTCAAATCCACCGTATCAAACATAGCCTTAATAACACTTCATATAATTGAAATACGACTTCTATGCTCATCGATGATATGGTGTGATCTTGTTTTAAACCATTTTTTTTAAAAAAATACTTGGCTAATTAAATCATTTTAATATAGCTACGCACGTGAAAAAAGATGTGTGTATGTAAGTTGCCTTTTGTATTCCAACATTGACAATCTAGAAAGAAGCTTGTGATCGAGATGTGAGTCGTGACTAGCCAACCTCATGATAAACCTGTTATGCAAAGACTAGACTGAAAGTATTACGAGAACCTTATTGTTGGATTGAGAGAGAGATAGAACCAACAGGCCTGTGGTCTAGCGGTACCAGGTCCCTACTTTTCAAAGGAATGTCAGGAATTCGAGCCTCAATGGAGGCATGTGTGTGTGAGTACTAACTAGGAAAAAAAAAAAGAAAAAAGAAGAGAGACCATGAGCCCTCCCCAGCTCTTTCTTCGAACCATCACACTCCAACGCATGGCTTAAAACCACCACCACCATAACCACCAATGCATAGGTCACTCTCAGATTTGTTTGATTGTCTAGCCCAGGTCTATGGGCTTTGTAGTTAAAACTTTTTTCAACTGATGGGCCATGGGCTTGCTATAGGTTTTTTTTCCTACTATTTTATGGAGTATCTAGAGAGAGAGAAATGCTAGATTGCATGGAGGCATAACAAGGCCTGCTGCTAATGATATTGCTGCTGAATCTTGTTTGGACGATGCTCGTCTTCCTTGGGCTCATTGTACCGTGCAACGGACATGTCCAACTGTTTATTACCGAGCGTGTAATACACGCGTAGGCACGTATATACACGAACAATTCGGATATGTCCGTTGCACGGTGCAACAAGGCACAAGAAGTTTTTCTCCTGATTTAGAGCATAACTTTTTATTGAGTTTTATCTTTTTACTGGGGATTGAACCGGTTCTGTAATTGGTTTGATGATTCTTCCGTTATTTCTCTTAAAGGTTATTTTTCCTCGGTTTACACTTGTATTATTTGTCTATTGTTTTTAATAAAATATCCACATTCAGGGGGGAAAAGTATAAACAGCCAATAACAAAAGTTGTTTTTAATTGATGATCACACAAAAGCGTTTGCTGGACGAAATGGGAAACTATGTTTAAAAGCAAAGCAGAGGGTGGTCTGAGATTCAGAGAATTAGAAAGTTGTTAATTTGTCTCAATTATCCAAACAAGGTTCAAGGTTGGAGATCGGAAGTAGAAGAAGATGCTTCGTTATCCATAGTGTTTAAAGCTAAATATTTTTCAAATTCTTCCTTTATGCAGTCCAGAGTGAAGAGAGGAGCTTCTTGGGCATGGAGAAGTATATTTTCGAGCAAAGACATCATCAACAAGTATTATTAATATATGCATTGATACATGGATTCCCGATAATGTAGTTTTTAAGGTTCAAACTCCGCTGTGAGATTCAAAAGGTACATGAACTAATTGATCCACTCACCAAGAACTGGAACACTTTTTTTTTTTTTTTTTTTTTCCTAGTTGGTACTCACACATGTCTCTTCTGAGATTTGAATCCCTGACTTCTCTTTGGGAAGTAAGAGGCTGATACAGCTAGACCACTGACCCATTGCCGTTGGTAGAACTAGAACACTCTCCTTTATTGCAACAATTATTTGGCCATGAAAACTGCATTTTTTGTCGGCTTCTTGCCATGGCAATATTCCAGTTTAATCTGAAAAGTTCTCATTCAATCTAAAGACTCCTCCAAGCTTCATTGCTACCATTTGGAAGGATATTAGATTTCTGCTAACCTGCTTCAACAACATACGTTAGAATGGTTTGTAGGAAAGCTAATTCAATAGCTCATTTACCGAGTCGTCTAGGTTTGAAGAAAAAGTTTGCTAAAATGTTTATTGATAATAAATTAATAATAATGTACATGGGGGTGATTCTTGAAGCAGCAATTATGGACTGTAACCATGTGTAATTTTTTTTTTTTTTTTTAATCAATGAGATCTTCTTTCTTGCCTTGGGGAAGAAAAAAAAAAAAACTATGATATACCCATTGGGTTGTCAACCTACACCATTTTTATAACCACCTACACAATAAGAGCTAAAAAAAATTGAATCATAAGAAATTGCAATTAAATTGTATAAACACCTACGCAATAGTTAGCTCGTAGTATTAAATTAAATTGCATAAATACCTACATAAAAATTTATATTTTATGGAGCATCTATATAAGCATAGCTATGATAAGTAGCTATGACTTCATAAGTTTGTAAAGAATGAGACTCGTAAATTTTGATCTTTTTTTCTTATTAAGCTCTCATAACTCTAGACCTAGACAAGAAAGAGTAAGTGGGATTGGAATAAGTATGATTTACTTTGGTTAAAAAATAAAATAAAATAAAAAGTTTAAATTAAGTAACACAGTGTAATTTCTAGATAAATTCCACCACAGAACACAATATCCAAGTGATTTGTAAGATTTGTCTGGGACCTATTACAGTGGAAGTGGTATTTTAAACATATTAAAAGTTCTCTGAAAATATTGTAGAGAGAGAGAGAGGGATTCCCATGATCCTCATGGGACCTCCTACCCCAACTTTATCTTAAAATTTATTAGTGAGACAACAAAAAGAAAATTGATACCTTGGTCCACATAACCACATTCAACCTCCAAGATCTTAGTCAATGATGATGTTTTTGATATGCTAATAATACATGTGACTTTATCATCCCTTTTTGTTAGTTATTGAATTTTCAAATAATTTGGCAGTACCCAACTAGGATCAATACATTGAATGTATTCGACTGCCAAGTGATTGTTTAGGTATCAATCTGTTTCCTAGGAACATACAGGTGCCTAATAAAAACATTTTTAAGTTTATTCTTTCACCTTTCTTCAATGATTGATTAAATTTGCCTTAGTTTACCGTCCATGATGGATGTATAGGTCTCTAGTCACATCTATACTCTGTCATCAAATATTCATATGACCAAGAAAAATCTGTCTAACCTAAACACCAGTAATAGAAAGTATGAGCAGAATGTACCAAGTACCAACCCCTTTTGGCTTATCCTATGTGTCCAGAACCTCAAACATGAACTACTTCTAAGAGAGGGAGTTGCAAAACCTAGACAGGGACTAGACTTCAACGATACTGAAATTTTATTCATAAGAACTTATTGGTGTTACCAGATTGCCTTCGGTTTCAGATCTGTGTCGCCGTTTTGGGTCATCCAAGAACCACCAAGTGGTGCCCCAACCGGCTAAGCAACCAGATATTACAATTACATGTTCATTCTGCCTTTGTGACGGTGCTTGACACACTTGGTTATGATGTAGATACTTATTACATATTGATACAGACTCATCAGTCTCAGTAAGATCCTCACTTGAATTGACCTTGCCTATGTTCATGTCAAGACCATAAATCATCTATTCTTCTCAATGTGTTAAGATAAATGCAGTAGTGCAAGAAGAATTTATGATATCAAAAGCTACCAAGAGTACAACCATTGTATGCACAATAACATACATTACCTATTTTCTAAATATTCTTCAGGCCAAAATTCATATCACTATTTAAATAGTGATCTTTTGATATTCCCCCAGTATATACTCCATTATATCATCAAACTATGAACGTAATTGTAATATGCATTTACCTCAGGGAAACATTGCATAACCCAGTTAAAGAATCCTCTCTGGAACACTAGTTCCCCTTCTTTACGAGAAAGAGCAAGTCTCGGACTAATGTAGCAAGGATTGCAGTTGGAACCTGTGAGTGTTGGCAGGAAGGAATCCGTAGCTCCTGAGGAAGGACCAGTGCCAGTGCCTTCTTTTTCTTAGACTCCACTTATCCTGCACACCACCAAACGAGTCATGATGGCATATTATTTAACGGTGCATTTCAGAAAGGTAGAGAGGAGGAGATTATAGATACCTGAAGATTCAATGATCATACTTTTGCTTCTACTCAAATATTCTTGCAAGCCGCCCACATATGGAAACCTTACTCTCGTATCTGAATTCTGGCAAACACTTTCAAGACTCCTATGCAGGTACCCAGCAGGAGCTAGCATAAACAATCCGCCCTTTCCAACCCTGAACCATCCAGTGGCCATCTTCATCTATCACAAAATCTTTGTGGCATCCCGCCTTCACCTTAGCCTTCAATTTCTTCATGACTTCCTGGTTCAACGGTAGCTGCCTGAACCCAGCCCTCAAATTACGAACTTGCCATTGCTTGTATGTCTCTGGCCTCTCAACCCTCTCGAAGCCCTCACATGCTACGACATTCATAATCTCACGTCCAAAGAATTCTTTCTCAAACATCAACCTCTCCGGATCTTCACGGGGTATGTTGGTATCAAACATATCATATAATGCAGAGTAGTGGTATAGAGCCTCCCGGAACCGAGTGACGTAAAAGGGGGCACTGTATGATCCATTAACAACAGCATGGACAAAAATATTTGGATTTATTGTCCTGATTAATTTTAGAACAGCATCCCTTGGACTATCCACCGTAACTGTCTCATCAAACAGGTTTTTAAATTTGAACAGAGCGGTCACAGCAAGCACCTCATCGCTGTCAATCTTGAAGTCCTCAATTTGGATGGTTTCCCATTTTTTTGCTATGGCATTGTACTCAAAGGGAACTTTAAAGCGCTCACAATACTTTCCCAAGCGACGCCCTGTCTCCTCAACTAGTTCTGCTGGCCGAAAACCAGGTTGGGGAAACTCTATTCCTGTAATGCGAAGTTTAGGAGGCCCATTAGGTCTGGTTGAGAGACGTTGGATGAGGATGGGCCACTGGAAACCATATAGGATACCGAAATCTATGATATGTAACTTTGTTGCTTTCTCAGCTATTTCCAAAATCTTAAGATTAGCCAAAAGAATGGCTATTGTCTTGAATGGGCTGGCTGAAATATAAAGCTGGTATGCCTTCAACATATGAGCAGCTGATGGCCTCTTGGAAGTTAGGGCAGTATAAATCTGCGATCCAGTGCCAGACAAGCGTGCCTCGAGACCATTAGCAAAGAAATGTGCCAATCTCTGAGACCCATCACCAAAAGGAGAGCAGTGCTGCCTTATCTGCTTTAGCTGTTCATTTGCAGTCCTACGATCATCTGCAGCAACAGAGTGTGCACAGTTAACCAGAAGAGTCCTCAAATCCACCACTTCCTTGGTATTGCCCTGTTTCTTGGCACGAGTCTTTCCACCATTTGATTGTTTCTTCTGCTGCAAGGTCTTGCTTTCTCCATCGTGCACTTCCTCCTTGACAGCACAGGGCGGAGGTCCCCCCTTTACCTCAGTAGAGAGTAAAACCCTATCAAACATCTCTGATAACTCAGATTCCTCCACATAAAGCGCTGACTGCTTGCTGTTCCTCTCCTCCTCTAAATCACTATCCTCCCGGTAATGATTCTTCCTTCCTCTTGGACTATTAGGTGAGTAACTCCTCTCATCCTTCTCTACCTTGATTAGGACCTCGGGAACCACTTCTTTTGACTGTGGAGGCAATGCGTAGTTCTCCAAATCAATAATAAACTGATTGCCACTAGGAAGGAACTTCCTAGCTTCCTCCGCCCCTCTCTTGAACAACAAGATTGACTGGCTATCACTAAATATATTAGAAACCATTTCAAAAGATTCCAATGGCCCAGTAAGAGCATTGCTAAAGCTGTCTGTAGAGCTCAATGAGCAATCCGAACTGGACTGTAAAGTGGACTGGAAAGATTTCTCAACGGGATTGCTCCTGATAAGAGAAGAAGATGATTTAAACTCTACGGAATCATCATTCCATTGACGATCAGTAAAGTTGCTAGAACAAGTGCTGCTGCTGTTTGTATTGTTGTCAATGGAACTTCCAGAAAAATGATCATTTGGGCTCTCAACATTTTGTTCAATGTAAAGAGAGGGCTGGTCAGGAGAAGGAGGGTACTTCTCACCAAGGACTTCATAGAAAGATTTCTCAGCAGCCTGTAGAGCCAAAGGATCATGGAACATGCTGGGCTTCCCTTCCATGTTCTCCTCCATGAGTATCTGGTTTAGGTACTTGAGAACTGTATCAGAAAGGTCATGATCGTCTGGGGAATCCAATTCAGAGGTTGCACTTGACGACGGAGCAAATTTACGGAGGTCAGGATCAGGACCGGGTTCAGGGTACGATTCGGGTGAAGGGAAAGGGATATCCATGAAGCTAAGATCTATAGAGTCGTCGAATTTGAGCCCATTGTCTAAGTATGGAGACTGATCAAAACCAGGCACAACAGTCTCATTATTGACTTTGAAACCGTCCATGAATCAAAAAAAATCCACTTAAAGCTGGTCCACGACCATATATAGTGCAAAAAGAGTATCAAAATCAGACTCACCCTAAGTAAGCCAGAACCTAATCAATCGATCCCAAGCAAATAGCTGACTTTCTACCTTTAAACCTACACCATCAATCTAGTTCCAATCAAAAAATAATAACAATATAGAAATGATAAAGAAGTTGGTACTAAAAAAATCCATTTTTTCTAAACCCTAGATTCATCAAAACTTACAAAATGGTGAAACAACTAAATCAAATTAAAGAATAAAAAGGATAACTTGCATAAACTGAAAGAAAAAAATAATAACGATACAGAAATGATAGATGAGCTGATATTAAAAAAACCCAATTTTTCTAAACCCTAGATTCATCAAAACCTATAAAATATTGAAACAACTAAAATAAATTTTAAAAAAAAAACACAGTGTAGCTTGCATAAAATGAAAGGCACTACATTAGAAAGAGACACACACAGAGAAGCAAGTAAAAATCTAGCTTGGAATCAGATAAAGAAGCAAAAGAAATTCAACTTGAACAACCTAATTGTTCATGAATCAGTGTAAAAATTGAAGCAGTGAAAAACGAAAGAGGAAGAAGATGAGAGAGAGAAAATGATTTTGCATACCTGAGAGAAAGTAGTGGATGCAAAGATGGCTAAAAGGTGATAAGAGAGTCAAAAGTACTCTTTATAAAAGGAGACTATTATGAGACTACCGGAGGAGGATTTGGTGGTGGTAAAGCTTCGTTTGATTTGCAAGAAAGTTATGAAGAATACAAAAAAAAAAAAAAAAAAATCTTTTCAACTTCTTTTTTACATAGAAAACTGAAAAATCAAAATTTTTGTTGTCGTCTTCTAAATATTTGTTTGAACGTCTTCTAAATATTTCTTTAAAAATTATTATTATTATTTTATGAGTTTGAAATTATTTCACAAACATAATTATAAGGTTGTGCGGAAACTAATTAGTAGAATTTTTTAAGAAAATATGTAATTAATGTATGGACAATACTTGTATACAGTTGATGTGGAATCACAAATGCACACATTATTAGTGAGTAAAAAATTAGAAAAATGGAAAAGAAGAATAATATATATATATATTTTTGAAATAAATTCAGTTTTTCTTTCTAATATTCTTATTTATCACTTTTCAAATTTTATAATTTCAGATTATGTACCAACAGGCATGTGACCTAGCGGTATAAGACTCTTACCTCCCAAAGAGAGGTCAGGTACTCGAACTTCAGTAAAGACAGAGATTGTAATAATTGAAATGAAAAAAAAAATGAAAGTAGGAAAAAGTGAAGTGAAACTTTTCTTTATTCAATTAATTTTCATTAATTGTTTTTCAAAAAAATTATAGAAATTCGGAAATTTATTAAAAATTTAAGAAATTAACTTTTTATGTTTTTATGCGAGAAAAATTTATGAAAAAAGTTAGTCCTAGAAAATTTCCCTTTTCTGCCATCCAAAATTTTAAAATATTATAATTTTTTATTATTATTATTTTTCCTTTCATTCTATTTCCATTTAACCATACAAAAGAAAAAAAAAATAGTGTTTTCTAATAGAATACTGTTTTTGCAAAATTATACTTAAAAAAAAAAAAAAAAAAAAAAAAAAAAAACAATTTCCTATCATTATTTTGACTTTTTATTTATCGCACACAGTAGTCGTGATTTGTGAATTGTGTTGTTGTAATGATCAACTAAAGTTGTTCGTGAATCATTGACCAGGGACCAATAAATAAGGAGGTAAAGGACACATAGATGTGGGTTCCAAAACACACCTAGCAGTCGATATTTCACGATCAGCCAAATATAGGAGTCATGTGCCATGAATGTGCCAGAAAGGAATATTTTAATTTTTTTCCCCAGAAATGAAAGTAACATTTTTATTATAATATTATGTGTGATCCGATCTAAATAAATTTCATAATGTTTCTTAAAAAAGAAAAAGAATAATTAAATAAAATAACAAACATAAAAGACAAGATTCGCATGCGGGTTTTGTTTTTTTTATTAATTTGTGGGTCTTATGGCTTTAGACCAAAGTAGTACAGCAATAACAATTTAAGAAATTGTAAACTTGTACACCTTGTGCTGAATATGTGCGTGTGTGAATATGTGTGTGTTTGTGTGTGTGTTGTGTGTTCACACGTGTAGCTCGGTCAATCGCACATGTGGCTCTCCAAGATTGGCTCGCACTACTTTTCACCTAAATCATCACTATTTATCACTTAAGCATCAGAGTCAAAAAAAACTACACGTTTATTGACCTAAGACCAGCATGAAATGGATCGATTTGACCAAAACTTCATTTTATTTTATTTTATTTCGCAGGAATTGTAATCATAAATTCATATTTAAAACTATGCAGTAACTGTGGGAAAACTTGGACATCTCGACGAATTAGTCACGCCAAATTCAAAATTTTAATACCACCGTCGTCGCTAAGTTTAAGGTCTAAAAAACTCATTGTATCTCAATCTGTGCCATATCATACGGATTTTTATGAGTTTTTCAAGTTTTCGGGTCCTGCAAAATTTTAATAACTTACTAATAAATAAAGAGAAATTTCACTTACCATCCCTGAAGTTTGTAAGTATCTCACATAAATCTTCTTACTTTTTATTATTTCACTTATCTCCCTTATCACGGTCATCCAACTTGTTAAAGGTAATGTATTATTTTATCATTTAGCCCATAAAATGTTTGCCGTCATTTCATATATTAAAAGGGCAACATTGATCATCTGTCAAATTTGCAGTCATTATGTTTGTCTCCATTAAGTACCTAACAACAAGAAAAATATATAATATAAACCAAAACCTCAGGGGAAGTAAGTGCAATTACGAAATGTATAAAAGATTTATGTGAGATATTAACAAACCACAGGAAAGGTAAATGAAATTTTCTCATAAATAAACTTATAAATAGGATTTTCTTTTAGACTATGAGTGATTAAAACTTGTGGGACACAATAATATACCTTCCTATTAAAATTTGGAAGAAATTCAAAATATTATATTATTTAATATTGTTTCTTTTAACTAAGTTTCAGTTACTAATTTTTGTCAAAATTAGATTAATACCAATGATATTAACTTTTATTTTACATAAACAACATCTAAGTTGTATAACTTAACTCTGATTAGAAGAAAAAGAAGGCGTTAAGAGACCCCTTCTGGCCTAAGAAAAAGGAGGTGTTAAGGGTTTTCCATAATCAAAAGAGCGATGATAATAAGATACTATAAAAACATATAACTTTACAAATATAAAAATTATAAACTTTTTTATTTTTTATATTTCGGATTAGTGAGATAATAAAACCATTGTTCAATGATGCTAATGGGAGTCGGGCATAGAGAGTGGGCAATTTGGGGGATTCACAACAATTGCAGCGCGTAACTAACATGCATAATTTTCTTTATGTTCGACCACATAAAATTGAAGTCTTAAAATTAAAATTGGTGAAATTGAAAAAAAATTAATTTAAAGTTGTAGGAAATTAAACTAAAATTTATTCTAAATCTACAAATTACAATTCCAAATTCCACGCTGCAAAAACATTCCTCTCTTGGAATTAAATTTCCTTATGCAAATAAACTGCATTATGAAACTCAGAGGTTAGGCAAATGCAAAGAGTCGACCAATTCATGATATTGATTCCAAGCGAGCATTTAAAGAAGATTACAACAATCACTAACGGACTAATTACAACACCACCACAGAACTTCAATACCCAAATCAACTTCTTCAACCAAACCTTCAAAAAAAAAACCTGTTAGCAAGCTCTTACTTTATCAACAATCTATAAGGGCTAACCTCTCCGTACAGGAAAAGAATCACCACAAACGCCAGAGAAATTTCATGCACTGTCTTTCTCTAATCACCCCTTTGTAATTACCTTTTTACAGAGTCATAATACTAACAGAAAAATTAATTAGATACGCCCTCTAATAACTGATCCATTTCAGCTCCTTCCGGCATGCGCTGCCACCTCTCCAATGGTTAAGTTCTCAGAGAAGGCTGCAGGTCTCGGGCTGCTTTGGCTGTTGGGACCAGTAAGCGTGAGCAGCTAAGACCCTATCCAAGAGCTCCTCGGGTACAGGCTCACCCCTCCTTTGCTGGGGAGATATTTTTGCCGTGTGCACCAGTGTTTTCCACTTGTCCTGCACACAACCCCAAATGACAAAAACCGCATCAAGTGAGCACGCTCTAGTTTAACTCTCTCTCTCTCTCTCTCTATATATATATAACAGAAGAAAATGAGCAACAACTCCCCTTTGCTTTCCAAACTAGGCACCATTGAGCAACCAAAAGTTTCATCAGATATAAATTATTGGGCAGTGGGAAAAAGAAAAGGTAAGAAATCATATTGTTCGGTAGAGGACATGATTGTGATCAGGAAAGAGTAAATAATACATTAATTATCGAAGAAAAAAAAAAGAAAAGAGTAAATAATAAATCTATGCAAGTGAAATCATGTCAGACTGGAATGGAAGAGATTACTTGGAATTGGGTATAAAGCTATCAAGACTATCTAATCATTGCTGGAAACACGTGCAACTAGTATTGCCTTGAAATCATGATACCAGTCCTTGTAGGCCAAATCTATACCGTGGACTTCTTAAATGGTAAAAATCAAAAGAATTTAACGCTTAGAAAAAAGGAACAAAAAGGAGCATGAATAATAATGTAAAATGGGAAGTCTGAAATAAATGCAGCACAAGTGCTAGATCACTTCCTGACCTTTAAATCCACATAAGTTCGATGTTTTGCATTATCAAAAGCTCGTAGTTTAACATCACGCCATCTGCAGAATATAAAAAAGATTAGGGGAAAAAATGCCCAAGAGGGAGAAAACATACAAAGCTGGTCCAAAATGTCAAACTGCTGCATCCCCACCCCCCTTTTCTCTTTTTTTTGTGCGTGCGTGTGTGTGTATATATATATATATATATGCCTTTATGTTAACAAATGTTTGGCATTCAAGCATAGGTTCTTTTCAGCTGGAGTGTTACAAAAATAAAAAATAAAAACAATAATTAATAAAGCTCTTTATTTTCTGGTGATATTTTTCACCACACAAACCTTCCAGTTCCAATCTTTTCAACAGCTTGAACCAGTGCTTGCACTTCAGAAACAGAGAAGGGTCTACGGGCTCGACGTTGCACAACCTCAGATCTCTGGGATTTCTGCATGGGAACTATAGCCACTTTCTCGGCATTCATTGCTGGAAAGGCAAACAATGCTCTGGAAATAGTTGTTCTTTTATCGATTGACATGTCAGGAGGGGAGGGTGCTGAATCATGAGCATTTTCAATGAAGTCACCCAAATTTGTCACTGAAGGATCTAATGAGGCATCAGAAGTCCCCTGTTGAACTACACTTGCAGTATGAACTACATCTGGAATGGGCGGGCACCTGGTAATAGAGCATATATTATTAGATGAATATCAACTGCAACAAAATCATTTGCCATTAGCTCTGGAAGGTATTCCAATAACTAAGATTCCAATTAGTACTGAGTTTGGTTATGGGAAGAACAGGCAAAGAAGGAGAAGGGAGCTCCTCACTGTCAGGTAGAAGGGACGGAGAGAGACAGAGAGAGAGAGAGAGGGAAATGAATCCCTCCGTACAAAAGTTTAATCTGTCCAAATATTAGGAGGAATGGGGTAGAGGGGAAGCATTAAATATACATATGATCTATGCACTCTCATTCTGATCCCTTCGGTTGAGGTATAATTCTTAAAGGGTATATTGCTCAAATCACGCAATACCCCTCCCTTCTTAAAGGGTATAATGCTCAAATCAAGCAATGCCCCTCCCTTCTTCATTTCCTTTACACTCAAATAAACAACACGAGGAAAGAGACACCTTCCTTTCAGTAATATCTTTTCCATCCCTCTTTTCCGTGCAATTTTCTGTCATTCGTACCAAAAGGAGAATAAGAGTAGAAAAATAAAGATTAAAACTGTCCTCGTATTACAATAACATGGTAACAACATAGTACTGTGTTCAATGGGAGTACAAAAGTTTACTCCTGATTTCAACCATGCCTTCTTCATGCTCCACAAGAATAATCAAAGTTTGATAAAGCTCAATTAGCCGGAATTGTTAAACTAGACTGGAAAATAAAAATAAAAAGGGTCGGTAGAACCAGTCACTCTCCCTGGCATGGCAAGTCTTCCTGCTTTCATTCAGCCCGAGTGGAGGAATTTCACGTGTCGAATTGCTTTTGGAACAACCAAAAGAACATCTTCCGACAGTAAGAAGGCATTCCGAGCCCGCTTGCTGAAGATCACCATATTAAGTATCTAAAACATATAAAACATAAAGAATTTCTATGAATGAAACTCATGGTTTACTTGAGTGAAAAGAGTCCACCCAACCAAAGTCTAAACGTTGTAAAACTATTAAAGGTCACCATGTTATATAGACTCTTCTAGACACACAGAGGACTGGTTTGGATTTTTGGACACACGACACGGGTATTGGTTTCGAATATGTGGCAAACATGTCAAATTGAACATGCACTTAGCATATGTTGCTATATTGTTGCTTCCACGTAAGCAAAAGTGCCTACATGGAACAACCTATGTTACATAAGAACACCATTTCACCTAATAAATAAAATAAGATATTAAAAATATAAATATTTGGCCATTACCCATGTCCTTTAGTTTAAGGACTTAATAAGTTCAAATAAAACTGAATATATGAAGTGTAACTTAGTTAAATCTAGAAATACAACCGAGGATGTATACAAAAAGTGAAAATTTTCATTCTTTAGGCTCAATTATTGATAATGAAGGAGAAATTGGAGATGAAATAAATCATAGAATCAATGCATGAAGGGTTAAAAGGAGAAATTGGAGATGATATAAATCATAGAATTAGTGCATGAAGAGTTAAATGGAGGAGTACACGTAGTATAATGTGTGACCGACGTATCCCGTTACAGATTGAAAGGGAATACTATAAAACAATTACTAGACCAGCCGTAAGTGTGGCGAAAATGCGAATGTTGAGAGATGTGCCATAAGACTAGAAAGGATAGAATTACAAATTTTCACATTCTTGAAATGGTTGGAGTAAAGACCAATTAGAGATAAAATGAGAAAAAATCGGTCAAGATGGTTTGGACATGTGCACAAAAGACATTTAGGGTAAATTACAGTTACTCCCTGCAGGTAGGGCAAATTATGCCCGCATCCCCTCTAGTTTGGATAATTTATGTCACCTCCCCTACAATTAACACCTTTGTAACAAATACCCCCCTCCGGTCAGCTTTCGGCACGGTCAAAGGCAGTTAATGCTAACGTCATCACTTTCTAACCCTTAACATGACTTTACTGCCTCGAAATGTATGTGAAAGACACTTTTTGTCCATTTAAACTTATGTGAAAATACATTTCTGTCCTATATTAAGGAATTAAATGGACCAAATGGCCCTCATTGAAAACGTAGAAAATGAGGTAGATGCAGAAACCGGCCTGAGAGAGGATAATCATGACATCGATGGCAAATCATCCGATGGGTCCGCGGACGACGAAGCCGAGGTCGCCAAAGGAGGCGATTTTGGTGAATACATGGTGGGTTCGAGTCGGCGGTGAGTGTGGACGTGGTCTTCTCCTCTGATATATGTGTGTGCATCTGGGTATGTCACACTGTGTGAGAAAGAGAATTGATGGGGTTTTTGATTGAGGGATATAGAGGGTTCTGATTTTCGATTAAATTATGTTGAGTTCTTTTAAATTCTAGAGAGAGAAAGAAGGTTTTGATCAAATGTGTGAAAGAGGGTTTTGATCAAATTTGTTCGTCTTCTCTTCCGGCGACAGCAATCATTTTACAAGGAGTCTCAAATACATGGCTCTATCTCTCTGTATATGGAAGAGATGGCAATCATTTGACAAGGAGTCTCAAATACATGGCTCTATCTCTCTGTGTGTGTGTGTGTATATATATACACACACACAATGTGGAAGCCTCAAATTGATCCTAGAGAGAGAACTAAGAATGGATCCACCGCTTTGAGCTCCGATCAGCCGACGACGACCTCGAACATGGCATCGACACCACCAACGACAACCCATCCAGCGCCTTCTCCTTGGCAGCAAACTTGTCCGGGTCATGTGCTCTGTCTTTGGTTTTCTCTTGCATCAGTTCAGTTTTCCTGTTGTTTTTGGTTTTATGAAGGTTGGGTCTTATTTGAATGTATTTGTTGTTCCGGTCACCAGATATGAACGCCGATCACTGAAAGGGGAGGTAAACGGAATTATCCAAACTAGAGGGGATGCGGGTGTAATTTGCCCTAGCTGTTGGGGAGGTAATTGTAATTTACCCGGACATTTAAGTGCACCAGTTAGGAAGAGAAAGATAGTCCACATTGAGGGTAATACTAAGAGAAGAGGAAGACTAGAGTTAATGTGGGTAGATTTAGTAACGAAAGATATGATAACATATGGTTTGACTGAGGCCATGGCCTTACATAAAGGGGAACGGAAAAATAGGATTCATGGTCAACCTCAAGTGGTTGGGTTTAGTTGTTGTACTCACATATCCAAACACGATTTACTTGCTAAATATATACGTGCATATATATATCCAAACATGTAAACATATCCAGGTCCATGTAATATAAACTAAAAGCACTACTAAATGACAAGAAGTTCTTAAGCTAACACAAAATAGATCATGATGCATCTAAATTACCTTGTTAGTGGTTGAGTTCCGCCACAAGAGAGTAGAGAGGAATGATCTTTGGGGCAAGGAGTTGATGGAGCTTGCAGAGGATTAGGCTCCAGGGTAAAACCCAGAGCATCAGGCTTGTTATCATGAGATATTCCAGTCTGTTGTAGAGTTTTGTTGTCATCTCTAATCTTCTTCCCTTGAAGAAGTACACCAACATGTAATCCACAGCCAAGTATAGCAGTCACTGCCTCCATTACTGTTCTCTGGTAACATTTACACCACATCAGCACATAATCTTAAATTTCAAGCAGCAAATCAGTGAGACCTAAAGGAAAACTGTAGAAAGGAAATATGACAAAGAAAATTGAAGTAAAGTGTTAAAAATAAAATAAATAAAATAAAAAATATTCCATGTGGAAAAAGACGGGGTGAAAAAAAAAAAAGAACAGTGCCAATTTTTGAAAAAGACCATCTGGAGGAGTTCCCAAGACTGAAATAAAAAGGAATGCAAAAAATGTATCAAAACACAAATGCTTACAACACATCAGCGCATAATCTTAAAATTCAATCAGGGAATCTGTGAGACCTAAAGAAAAACCGTAGAAAGGAAAAATGACAGAAGATTCAAGTCAGTGTTTAAAAACAAATTAAAAAATATCCCATGTGGAAAGAGAGAGAGAGAAAAAAATAATAATAATAATAATTAAAAAAATAATAATAAACAGTGCCAATATTTGAAATAGACCATCTGGAAGGGTTCCAAAGACTGAAATAAAGAGGAATGCAGAACGTTTACAAAAGACAAACGCAGATGTTATTTGTTTCTCATATGTGTCGTAATGCTGTCACATCTCTCGCAAAGCATGGTCCTACCCTACACCCATTATTTGCAATTTTGAGGATGCAGAATGAGAGTTACATATCAATTGGTGGTTTTATCCATCAATAATGAGTTCATGTACTGCCCAACGCAAATGTAAAAGCTTCATGAAATGAGGTAGCTGACATACCTCATGAACATGAAACCTTTTTCACATCCAATACTATGTATGGAATGAGGTAGCTGCAAGACACTTGTCTCAGTATGATCAGAATCAATGATCACATACCTTCAGAGAACCAACAGTTGCAGTTTCTGGAATCTCAACGACAAGCTCCGGAACCTTGAATGACTTGATACTAAGCTTCACTGAGCAAAAGGAAAGGCATCTTTGAATAAGAACCCCTTAATGTCAGATACCAATCAAGTCAAAGACTCTATATGAATCACTCCATCAAAGGCTCACTCATACCATGAGAATCCTTGGATTGGAAGGATGTATGTTGACTGGATACAGAAGCTGAAGTCTCTGTGGCTGCATGAGAAGTTATATGAGTAAAAATAATAAAGATAACATCAAGTTACGCACAGAAAAATAAGAAGAAGAAGAAGAAGAAGAAGAAGAAGAAATAAACCTCCAGGCATTGTGGCACCAAAGGCTCTCATACCATGAGAATCCCTGGACTGGAAGAATGTACGTTGGCCTGCTAAAGAAGCTGATGTCGCAGTAGATGCATGAAGGGAGTTATACTTGCAAGTAAAATAATGAAGACAACAACAAATTCTACACACAACTAAAAATATCTTTTACAAGAGTAATAAAAAAGTAAAAAAAAAATTTAAAAAAAAAAAAACCTAATAATGGGAAGGAAATAAACCTCCATGAATTCGTGAAGAGCCAAAAGCATCTCTGCTGAAGCCCTTCCTAGGTGAACCAGAATTAGATACTCGACTACGGGAAAAAAGTTTCCTCTTTTTGACAGGATAATCCTTTTGAGACCTGTGGCGCTTGTAACAATTTTTCCTATTGCGGTATAGAGCCCTTATTTCTGCTTCTGGAGAAATCATTGTAACATCCCATTAAATAAGAGACATATAAATCCAAATCATGATTGCACCAAACTAAATGAGCGAGGACACTGCTACAATTAAAGCATTAAGTGATTACCCACCAGTTTTAGAATGTTCCTCATCCTTCAAATTATGATTTACTTTCCAATATTTGGATGCTAATAAATTACTTGTTCTGCCATCTCCAACTCGTGGTGGTGGCCTAAAGGCCTTCATTGCGGTGCTAGGTTGAGTGCACCCAGAAGAGTTTTCGTCATCATCTCTAATAACTAACTTTACATCATCCTGATGCACAGGAAAAGAACCAAGGGGAATGTGATCCCCACCTAAACTGATTACAACATGAGGTTTACTGTCTGAAGCCATTTGATCCTTTGAGCCGCACTTATCAGCCCTGGTGCTAATTGACACTTCTCCAGTATCTGGTAGTTCAATTTTTATCAATTCCTTGTCAACATCCTCTACTGTACAATAGCAGGACTCCCTGCACTGAGAGGAACCTACCTCCACTTTGGTACCAAAGATTCCGAGTTCAACCTTGCTTTTTCCATTAACCAACTTTTCAGCAGAAGCAACCTTGTTTAAATAATCAGAAGCAATTATAGATGAAGGTCCCAAACAGGTATCGACCTGAGCAGTTGTAAATTCCTTCAAACTACGATTTACAGCAGGAGCTTCTGAGACAAGTCCAGAAACTATAGAACTCCTCTGATTGCTTCCTCGATCACAAGATTCTACTTTCAAAGGGTTATTTTCATCCTGTTGTTTTTTCTTCACATGATCTTTCACTATTGGACCATGTTCTTTTCCAAGTGTATTATTATAACTTTCTTCTTCCAGCAATAGCTGGCCAGCTACAGTAGCCAATATGTCAAATGGACATATTTGATTGCAATCAGCTTTCTTCCTAAATGATCCCCTCCTCTACAACAAGTGGCAACGAATTAAAACAGAGATCAGTGCTTCAGAAACACAGACCAATAGGGAAAAACAAGTAAAGGAACAATAAAGGTGCGTTTAGTAACTTTTTCGTTTTCTGTTTTTGCAGTCTCAAGAAAGCAAAAACATGGTAAAGGAACAATAAAGGTGCGTTTAGTAACTTTTTCGTTTTCTGTTTTTGCAGTCTCAAGAAAGCAAAAACATGATTTTGCTTTTCTGAGCGAAAGTAGAAAGCATAAATGGAGTTTATTGACACTTACTGTTGCCACAATTTTGAAAGCTAGAAAACAGTAACAGTGTTTAGTAATACATATTTGTTACAAGATGTAGAGAATATTATTTAATTTTTTTGTTTTATTTTAATTTTTTCATTAGTATCACAAAGCCTTAAAATATGTATGCAATTCAATTATTTCACAAATATTAACAATACCCAATACATGATAATAAAATACAATATCCAATTTAAAATCACAAATCCTAATAATACCCAATACATAAGTACAAAATAAGATAATACAAGACAAAAATGCTCTCACCAATTATGTATATAAGTACAAGTCTATGCATCGTGTATACATTTATTATAGATATATAATACATTTAACATATAGTATATTATAATAAATAAATAAATAAGTTAAATAATATATCTTAGATGTAATAAAATATATAATATATTATAATATTATAAATTAAATATAATATAAGATTTACATATAATATAATATAGATATGGTATATAATAAAATAAAATATATATTACATAATAGTTTGATAATATTATATAAAATAAAAAATAATAATAAATCATAAATATTTTTGTCACAAAAAATAATTTACACTAATATACAATATATTATATATTAAAAATATACTTTTATTAAATAAAAAATAAATTCACACTAATATATAATATATTAAAAATATAATATTTAGATTAGTATTTAATATGTAGCATTAGCATATAACATGATTCTTATTTTAAATGAACAGTGATAGTGAAAACATTTTTGCGCTACCAAAAACATAGGAAATATCTTTTTTACGTTTCCTCTTATTTTCACAAAAATGAAAAATGTTTTCTATTATTGAAAAACAAAAACATATTATTAAACATGATTTTTGTTTTTGTTTTGCCTTTTTAGGGGTTGGCAACAGAAAATAAGAAAATTTTCCTGTTAACGACCACAACCTAAGCTGTACATAATGTAGACAGTATTTACCCTAGCTGATCTGGCAGCTCGAGGCATGGGAGGCACCTGATAGCCATTAAATCCATAGTCTAACCTCTTCTGAAACACCATATCTCAGAGATCATACCAAGAAGTTCTCATCGATCGTAAAATACCAGTAGTTTTGGATATATTTTACAGTCTAAAATAATCCAACATGAAATAACACTTGTGAATCACCTACACTTGGAAGGAAACCCAAGAATAAAAGGCCCTGTTGACAAATAAGCACTACCAATGAGATTATACTAGGGGAAGTTAAAAAGAAAAAGTTAAAAGTGGGTTGAGATACTAAGAAATACATGCTAGGGAGCATTTCCAATGACATTATGATAGAATGGAAACAGTATTCATGCAATGAGCCCAAATGGTTGTGTCAAGGCTTTGTTGACTAAAGTAAATTAACTTATTCTCTTCATATGAATTACCAACAGACAATTTAAGACCAAGAAATAGAAATACCTAAACCAAAAATATTGGAACTCAAGGCAAACGAAAAAATGGAAAAATAAGCATGTTTTCTATCAGATTCAATTTTTTTGAAAACCACAGGTGCGTAGAAACACAAATTCAAATTGGCCCTGGAAAGAAATGCATAGAAAGTGAAATCTTGCAAGCCCCACATGTCAGTAAAGAGACAAATTAAAAACAAAAATGATCAGTTTTCTTCTAATTGCAGCAATTATGCCAGACTGTGTTTACCATAAAGAGATTGGCACCATTAATCAAACATCTTTAATGCAAAGAAATTATATCCAAAAAGCACAATTCCTTGGAATCCTATGATAGTTTAGGATAGTACCGGCAATTATAATAAGGTACCAAGAGAAGAAACATTCGAATCTTGTAACAGCCACTCTAACCCAAAACCATTAGCATAAGATTCCAGGAAAATAGCCAATTCAACAGCAAAATGTCATAAGATCCAAGATTTCTATTCTTTTCCCATGTCTTATCAGCAATCAAGCAGAGCTCAAATAAATTTTAGAAATGGACATAGAAGATTCAGTTCATATTTTTTATAAATCAAATGGCTAGGAGAAGGAACACAGGTCTATCAAACCTGCATGATCTAAATACAGACAATAAGCTCCCAAGCAAAAACATCTTAAAATGAAGCCACACAGAAGAGAATGAAACATAGTATTCTAACTAGAAGGAATAAATTGACAATTTGCAGACATCAACATCATTTTATCAAAAAAACATAAGTCATAAAAGGCAGTGACAATTTTTTTTTTTTTTGGTTGGTAAACTGGCTCATGACCAAAAACAATTCAGGGCAATTGAATTCCAGATATCTTTTCTCTAGAAATCTAATTACCATAAAAAATCTGGAAAAAGGAACTTTTTTGCAAAGGAAATGCAAGATAAGGGAACACAGAGATTAATGTAAAAACCCTCAGTCCCTCACACAACCCTGACATGGACGTTCAAGTGATAGCATCTAAAGCAGCACTGGATAATTATTTCAGGCATCCCTGGAAATAAACATGTGTACAGATGATCTTAAAACCCAACAAACAGATCAACCCGAAAAAACCCAAATAATTCCGATAAATTATGAAACAAAATAAAAAAAAAAAATCAGGGCAATTGAATTCCAGATATCTTCTCTATAGAAATCTAAATACCATAAAAAAATATAAAATAAAAATTAGAAAAAGTAACGATGGAAAAGGGAACTTTTTTGCAAAGGAAAATGCAAAATAAGGGAACACAGAGATTAATGTAAAAACCCTCAGTCCCTCACAAAACCCTGACATGGACGTTCAAGCGATAGCATCTAAAGCACCACTGGATAATTATTTCAGGCATCCCTGGATATGAACATGTGTACAGTTGATCTTAAAACCCAACAAACAGATCAACCCGAAAAAACCCAAATAATAAATTGTCAAATAAAATTAAAAAATTGAAAGAATTTAACTCATTCAAGGGAAAAATCATATTTTTCACTAACATTTTTCAAAATCCACATCAAACTTCAGATCGAGTCCATCATAAAGAGAATTCAAGATGGAACAAACAGTCCAGGACGAAATCGGAACAACAAAACAAAATGGAAGAGAATCAGACAACAGAAATTGAAAATTAGACTAATGCTCCGTTAGAATTTAGACGTAGAGAAACAAAATGAAATACAAGAAAATATGCGTCAAACATTCCATTTAAATAAAATGATTCCAAAATTTCTTTTCCTTTCTTAAAATTTCCCGGCAACCAAAACAACGGTTGAAAAACAAATACGGTAACTTCGTCAGATTTGGGTAAGAAAAACAAGAAATTCCATCATCTACTTACCGAAACTTCCATCTGGTTCACTTGATTCCCGAGAAAATGAAATTCCAGTGAATCTGCTTTGAATATATAAGAAAATGTAAGATCGGACAATTGTCCGAGAATTCAAAGAACAAATGCCAAAAGAATCAGAATTTACATCGTCACGACACTCTTTCTTCATTATCTATCCCATGTTTTCTGTTGCTTTCTCGGAAAACAAACGCGGTTTCGAACTCTACCCTGAATTCTCTCTCTCTCAATCTTCGCTCTCTGAGATAGCCAAAACCCTCAGAAAACCACCCAACCATTTCTTAAACCCCAGCGCTCTCATTTCTTATTCAATTGACTACTACTACCGGATCAAGCGGTAAAGACCCATGGTTTTACCGTCTATAGAAGTTGCAGAAACTACCTAAAGAACCGGTTCCTCGCCAAACGGTGACCCACACTCTTGCTAAGCCAGTCCAGATCTCTCCACGTGGAGAAAGTTTGAATCAGGCGGTCATTACTGATGATAAACATTAAACGTTTGGTCACGAGAAGATGGAATTTCGGGCACTTCTCGTTATCAGAAAATATATATATTTGTAATAACTAGATTTTTTATTTTTGCATTTTTTTAAAGTTAGTAATAACCAGAAATGTTACAACAATGTGTCCCAAATTTGGAGAGTGTAGCTTTAAATCGCCTAACTTGTGTCAAATGAAATAAGATTATAATTGATATTATATATATATATATATATATTCTATTGTCTTTTTCTTCTCACGCCTATCCAAATGTACTTATTTTTAGAAGTTTTTCTCTTCTAATTGTGAAAAAAATTAGAAATAAAAAATGTGATCATAAGTGTAATATCCCTAATTTTTAAAAAAAAATATTTGATATTTAATTATTGTATTTTATGTGTTTACGTGGATATATGTTTATATAGTTTTATGTTTATGTTTAATTGATTTACTTGTTAATTGATTATGTGGATTATAATTATTTGTTTAACTTGATTTATTTGTTTTAATTGAATTATATGCTTATGTGGAAATTAAATGTTAAATTAAATGTATTATTTTTATTTTGAACGGAGTTGGGCTTGGATAGGATCAACGGACTTTTTGGATAGGGTATTTGGGTACAATTTATACCCATTGATGGTTATACAAATATATATGGGTATATATGTATTTAGGGTTAGTTTAATTATTAATTATTACTAGTGATTAAATTAATATTATTATTCATTATATATGTATAGTATAGTTTTAGGATTTTATTTACTTTTATGAAATCATGTAGGATAGCCGACTTATATAAATATTTATTTTATATTATATTATATTTTAATTTTTCTTTCCGTCTGACTTAGGGTGTAAGTAGGAGTGGAATTAGGTTTTGAATAAGCCTATATATATTTATGTTTTGTCTGCCAAGGGTTTAGAACCCTGGTCACGTATCAGTGGAGGCAGGGTAAAATACAGAGAGGTTTGAGAGAAACTGAGAGGATCAGTTGGGGTTTTGGCCGTAGATTAAAGGTCGGACCAAAGAAGAAGGAAGAGGGTTGCTTGTGAGTTGAACCAGGAGCAGTAGACGGCAGTGAAAGAGTCGTTGCAAATATTAGAGAAGACGGTTTAAGGTTTCAAAACTGAAACCAAAGGCAAGTTCTATCTCTTACTCTTTCCCTTTGACCTGTGTTTTGTGCATGCCTAGATACACTGTAGGATGTTAATCGGACTTTAAAAACACTGAACTTGTATGCTTATTAATGGAAAGTAATAACTATTTTTATGTGTTGATTGAAACTGATTCATCTCATATATTGTTTTCATCTGTTACGTTTATAATTGTTGTTAATGATGCATACTACGTTTTTTGATTTATGGAATAAAATCGGGACATAGATTGAACTCTTAGGAAAATTAACATTGAGTTACAGAGGTGTTTAAACCTACCGAAGACGGGGACGAGGGAGTAAAACAAGTGGAAGTAGGTTCAGGTCTCTCAGAGAGAAAGAGAGTCGGCTCCATGGAAGTGGGAACGGGTTCCCTCAAGTGAAGAGCCGGCTCCAGGGGTTAGGGAACCGGCTCCCACCTATCTAGAGTCGGCTCCAGGGGTTAGGGAACCGGCTCCCACCTATCTAGAGTCGGCTCCAAGGTGTATGGAGCCGGGTCCATGAATGGTTGAGCCTGCTCTCAACCATTTAGGTGATGTTTTTGGGCACTGTTTGGGTGTTTTGGAGTTCCAGAAATTGGTTGGGTTGATTTTAGGAATTCTAAATAATTTTCCAAGATAGCTTAAAGTCCCACAATGTATAATTTATACATATATGCTAATATTTAGAACAATATGAAATTTTAAACAAGTTTACATATTGTTATCGAATGAGGGGAATTTAATTGCTTAAATATTATTTTAGCAATTTAATGACTGTGATTATGATCTGATTTAAAATTTGTATTGGATACATAATACACTAAGGATTAGAACAGTATGAATTTTTAAACAAGTTTTCATGTTGTAAATGGATGGGGAGGATTTAATTGCTTAAATGCTAATTTAGCAATTTAATTGATTATGGTTTGATTTTTATATCTTGTATTGGATGCAGATTATGGTCATATATATATCAGATTTGTAATATGCTTATTATGGATTTTAGTTGATGAACTGTTTATTTCTGTCTTATCAATTATTAGATTGGTTTGTGGATTATATGCACCGGTATGGGACGGTGGCATATTAGGTACGGATTAGATCAAAACGCTAATTTTTGCCTATTCTGGATTTTAATTGTTGAACTGCTTTATCTGTTCTATCAATTATATGAATTTATGTGGATTATATGCACCGGTATGGGACGGTGGCATATTAGGTACGGATTAAATCAAAACGCTAATTCCTATCTATTCTAGATTTTAATTATTGAACTGCTTTATTTGTTCTATCAATTATATGGATTATATGTACCGATGTGGGACGGTGGCATATGAGGTTTAGATTAGATCAAAACGCTAACTCATACCTATTATGGATTTAGGAAATAGATTTAATTATAACATTTAAATCCTAATTGAATGTCATGTCTTAGCAACGAGCAGTTAAGCGGTACTACATTGGTTTTCGATGGAATTTATATATATAATTATGGTACATTGATATGAGTTTGAGTCTCAGAGTCGATGGTTATGGAACGTATATGTAGTGGGATGCATAACTGGCTATGATGGTTTGAGGTGTACACTGCTAGGTCTAGGTACTCATGCCCACTTCAGGTGCGTTTTACATGTTGCCTACTAGTCAGGCTGAAACTGACCTGTAGTCCAGTGAAAGTCCTTTAGTGTGGATATATATATATATAGTAATGGACTATTTAGTTATTGTTGAGTTATTTATGATGTATCTATATATTGGGTCTCTGCTTGGACTGTAGTAGAATAGGACTTGTTTGTGGGCTTGACCCACCTTTGTTTTTCAGGTATTCGTGCTGAGCATGAATTGTCTACATAAGAGTTCCTTTGTGATTTCTGTATCTAATTGTAGATTGTTGATCGTTTGGTTAGTTTGGTTTTTCAAGGGTCCACATAATATGGATTCCCAAGTTGTATTAGTAATGGAGGATTGGATGTATCGGAATATTTTCTTATTTATAAAAATTTATTCTGAGGATTTCATTAATGGATTATCGTTTTAGTTTTCTTTCAACAATTTTAGTTATTCCTTCTTATCATGTTTGTATTCTGTGTTCGATTATTGCCATTTGTTTTTTATATTATCGGGTATTCGGGCGTGGGCCTGGCCAACCCGTATCCAAAAATCCGGGAGTATCACAATAAGTGTATGTGGAATTTGTGTGTAAATGCATAAGGATGTCCTAATTATTGAACAAAATTTTGTCAATGGTCAATGAGCTACTAGAATGGATAAATTATTAAAATTATTAAAAGTTATCAAAAGTTATAAGATTTTGTAATAATACATATTTCAAATATATATTTTATTAATAATTAGTTGTTGTGTAAATGAATACAATTTAACTTAGCTTTAAACTGTTCTGGCTCGTTGTGACATACTTCAAAAGTGGAGGTCGAACTCAACTCATTACAATTCTGAGTACTTGAGAGTTGAGACTCACCCGACTTATTTAATAAAACAAATTTCTATATTCAGACTTGACTTAATCTCGTGGTCATGATAAAGTCACTAGTGAACATTTTTTAATTAGTTTACTTACCAATTACTTATCAATTTCATATGTACGATCTCCTTCCATGAAACTTGTACTATATATTGTAATATAGATCTCAAGGCTTGAAAATTCACATGGGAAACCTATATATACTTGTACAATTCTATAAAAGTTAAATCCACACTATCTTATATTCACCGGTCTATATGAATCGATTTGAATATTGTTTGGGATCAACTCTTTTATTAAACAAGTTTAGAAATCAAGTTCAAGTTCTGTTCGTTTGCTTAAAGAACAGGTTTGACACTTGAATTACTCATAAGTAAGTTAATTCATTTGTAACTCTTTATTTATAATACATTTGAGAAAAAATAAATAAATAAACAAATAATGTGCAGTGGTCCATCTAATGACGTTGTGATGATGTCATCCTTAAAACAATAGGATACATCCAATATTTAAACCATTTATTATCATTCTATATCCTTTATTCTCATTATCACATGACAAAATCATAAAATCATGTATGAATACATACACATTTTTAAGTTTTGTATATATATATATATAATATTTAATTTTAAATTTCATATAGACTCGTATCATTTTATCACATTCTTTTTTTTCTGTAATTTTTTTTTTTTTTCTAATAGTTATCAAAACATAAAGGGTGGCCAACTGGCCAATGACCATTAAATATCTTGCCACGTTGGATAAATGAATAATCCTACATGGCAAAAGAGCATCTCTATTGGCTACTTTTACTTTTCCTTCAGTATTTATCCCACAATTTTAAATTCAAATTTGAAGATAAGAAAATGCCAGTTTTTATACGTGAGTTGACGGAGGGATAACAATAACGTGACAAATATTACAGGCACTATAGGAAACGGCGTTAA